CTAATCAATAGTCCAGATAATATAGTAATCGATAGATTAGCCCATAGATTTGTCAAAGGACTGTTGCCATTGTCCAAAGTCATTAAACTACATAATCAAGTAAAAATTTTAAAAAATCAAATACTCAAATTCGTTTTATTCCGGAATTTAGTATGTACTTGAACTTAAAAGACCTTTAAACTTTTAGCCATCAGATATAAAAGATCGAAAAGTACAGTTTATCAATATTAAACAAGTAAGAATGTGTAGTCTATCATGGCCGACCATATGATACCCTACACCAGTGAGTATGTTAAAAATGTTGATTATTTTTCTAATAATAAAGTATTTTTCCTTAATTCCGAAATATTTTAACAATTGGTTACCAAAAAAAGTGATTTTCTGAATGAGAGGTTATATGCGGGCAAAGGTCATATCCATATAAATTTTGGTAGAGCGATTTACGATGACACTAAAGTTATTTATGCAGAATTTTAATGTGATAGTGGTGTCATTTTCTAAAGGGGACTTTGTATGAGACCTAGGGTCAAATGAGGTCCTATCATTACGAAAATCGGTAGTATCATTTAAACTTATATAAAACTAAGATTTGCCGATTTTCGTAGAGATAGGCGAAATAATGGAACGATTTTATTTGATGTTGCGTCCTTGGATCAAAAGAAGAGTATGACTCAGAAAGTGATTCTGAGCCGATTGGTATACATTAAGGTGTAAGAGTATGTGCCAAAGGTTTACATGGGCACACAAAAGGACTGACAGAGTCCCAATGACTTGTACCAACATCAATTTCCTAACATTCTAGACCGACAAGAAACAGCTTTAAGTCAGAACTTTTTACTGTCTACATCGGTCGAAGCGGCAAACGGTTGACTTGTCTCTATCGTGAAACTCTTTTGAAGTGTGAGACATGATATGATAGAATTAAAGAAAATTCAAGCAGATTGGTATGGTATGAGCCGATTGGTATACATTAAGGTGTAAGAGTATGTGCCAAATGTTTACATGGGCACACAGAAGGACTGACAGAGTCCCAATGACTTGTACCAACATCAATTTCCTAACATTCTAGACCGACAAGAAACAGCTTTAATTCAGAACTTTTTACTATCTACATCGGTCGAAGCGGCAAACGGTTGACTTGTCTCTATCGTGAAACTCTTTTGAAGTGTGAGACATGATATGATAGAATTAAAGAAAATTCAAGCAGACTTTGTCATATAAATATGTAAGTAAATTCTATGGAAGCTGTAGGCCCGAATCTTTTCCAATTTTTTTTAATTACTTATTCATTTATAAATCCTTTTTAAAAAGGTCTCATTTTGTAAAAAAAAGGAAGGAATTTGAGTATTAACGTTTCATAAATTTTGTCAGATTTAATAAAACATCCTAGACTATTTCAGTCCAATCCAATTAGTCCACTAAGTCTAATTAGTCTGCTTAGTCTATAGCATCTAGTTTTGACTATGTGTCGTTGGTAACTCTGCAATTTTACCTTAAATTTCTCGAAAGTATTATGGAATTGAAGATCATCCTGGTATTTATAATATGAGATCAACTTCCTAGCCTTTAAAACTATCAAATTAACTACGGTCCAGTTATAGATTCCATCCTAAATTCATCATTGAAGTCGATATTAAAGGATTTATCCCGAAGTTCATAGTTTCGTAACTATATAGTCCGAAATTTCTTTGGTTTTACTAACGTACACTTAAGCAGTTTTAGTCCCTGCTTGTAAACTCTTATGAAGATGTTGTGTTATGGTTCGAAATAGCACAGGCAATTAGACCCTGATAAGATATTAAGGGTTTTAATTTAAACAATTAATTTTTTTAAGTATTATCCATTCAAAAGTTTAATATTTTACTTTGTCGGATTTAATCTCTTATGACTATTAGTCAGTTTTTTTTTTTTTGGTTACCAAAAAAAGTGATTTTCTGAATGAGAGGTTATATGCGGGCAAAGGTCATATCCATATAAATTTTGGTAGAGCGATTTACGATGACACTAAAGTTATTTATGCAGAATTTTAATGTGATAGTGGTGTCATTTTCTAAAGGGGACTTTGTATGAGACCTAGGGTCAAATGAGGTCCTATCATTACGAAAATCGGTAGTATCATTTAAACTTATATAAAACTAAGATTTGCCGATTTTCGTAGAGATAGGCGAAATAATGGAACGATTTTATTTGATGTTGCGTCCTTGGATCAAAAGAAGAGTATGACTCAGAAAGTGATTCTGAGCCGATTGGTATACATTAAGGTGTAAGAGTATGTGCCAAAGGTTTACATGGGCACACAAAAGGACTGACAGAGTCCCAATGACTTGTACCAACATCAATTTCCTAACATTCTAGACCGACAAGAAACAGCTTTAAGTCAGAACTTTTTACTGTCTACATCGGTCGAAGCGGCAAACGGTTGACTTGTCTCTATCGTGAAACTCTTTTGAAGTGTGAGACATGATATGATAGAATTAAAGAAAATTCAAGCAGATTGGTATGGTATGAGCCGATTGGTATACATTAAGGTGTAAGAGTATGTGCAAAATGTTTACATGGGCACACAGAAGGACTGACAGAGTCCCAATGACTTGTACCAACATCAATTTCCTAACATTCTAGACCGACAAGAAACAGCTTTAATTCAGAACTTTTTACTATCTACATCGGTCGAAGCGGCAAACGGTTGACTTGTCTCTATCGTGAAACTCTTTTGAAGTGTGAGACATGATATGATAGAATTAAAGAAAATTCAAGCAGACTTTGTCATATAAATATGTAAGTAAATTCTATGGAAGCTGTAGGCCCGAATCTTTTCCAATTTTTTTTAATTACTTATTCATTTATAAATCCTTTTTAAAAAGGTCTCATTTTGTAAAAAAAAGGAAGGAATTTGAGTATTAACGTTTCATAAATTTTGTCAGATTTAATAAAACATCCTAGACTATTTCAGTCCAATCCAATTAGTCCACTAAGTCTAATTAGTCTGCTTAGTCTATAGCATCTAGTTTTGACTATGTGTCGTTGGTAACTCTGCAATTTTACCTTAAATTTCTCGAAAGTATTATGGAATTGAAGATCATCCTGGTATTTATAATATGAGATCAACTTCCTAGCCTTTAAAACTATCAAATTAACTACGGTCCAGTTATAGATTCCATCCTAAATTCATCATTGAAGTCGATATTAAAGGATTTATCCCGAAGTTCATAGTTTCGTAACTATATAGTCCGAAATTTCTTTGGTTTTACTAACGTACACTTAAGCAGTTTTAGTCCCTGCTTGTAAACTCTTATGAAGATGTTGTGTTATGGTTCGAAATAGCACAGGCAATTAGACCCTGATAAGATATTAAGGGTTTTAATTTAAACAATTAATTTTTTTAAGTATTATCCATTCAAAAGTTTAATATTTTACTTTGTCGGATTTAATCTCTTATGACTATTAGTCAGTTTTTTTTTTTTGCGTTAACAAATCTTATTTTTAAACAAATTTTAATTGTCAAATCAAAATAGTCGTTATTAAATAATTATTCAAAATAATTGGTCTTTGAACTATAAGCAAATTTACTGTGGTATCAGATTTGTAAATTTTAGTCTAAAATAATCAGAATATATCGTACGAAAACGTTTAGTAGACAACTTACAAATCCTACAAGTACAATGGTAACTTGCTAATGTTAAATACATTTAAAAAAAATCACTAAAATACATGCTAATATTTAATAATTTATTATTTGTTTTGTATATATTTTCTTTTAAATTCCCTACAATCATGCATAATTGATTTTGTATAAATTTATAATTTGGAGTATATTTTTTTTTCTTTTTTTATATAATCCAAATAAGTTTTAAAGCAAAAAATGCGTATAATATAATATAGAATAGAATGTTCCAAAATAGAAGAATATTTAAACACAAAATCCTTTAAGGAATTTTGACTCTTTCATTATTGAAACAGTCTGGCCGAAGAAATTTTGTTTGGTATTATTAATATCAGTCCAAGACTTTACATAATCCCCATAAAAGGGTCCTACCCCATAATACAGTTAGAATGGTCATGAATATGTTTTTTGTAAATTAATTATTTGTAATCGAAGAATTATTGAAGATTGAGAACCCGCATACATTGTTCTCACGAAGGTTAAGGATATAATGAACTTAATTTCATCCTACTTGAAGTTGGAACAAAATATATGTAATTTTAGTTTAAGTGCCGTTTACTCAGTTTCATTTTTGGAACACTCTAACTTAACAGTCAGTGACAAAGTAAAACTCTTTTTTTTTAAATAAAACATCACAATCAGTGCAAATATAATAAAATTTAGTACTTAATTATTAACTTTATATACTTAAAAACATCATGCAGAAACCATGCTTTATTAATAACTAATAATTGTACAAGTAATAAAAATAATTAAATTTGCTTAAATCTTATTTGCAATTTTTGCCACAGACTGTTTTGTAATACAATACATATTTAATTAAACATACATAATAAACATAAATGAGAGTTAGAGAAACAAAGGCAGCAGTCTCCATTTTATTTATAACCTTAACAAAAGAACTTTGGATGGAATTTGCCAGTAAACTTCTGGGTTAATATGTTTCTATCCTTATAAATTTTGATAGAGGGATTTACGTCTACATTAGTTATTTATTCAGAATATCATCATGATATCAGTGTTTATACGTGAATTTTAACCATCAAGTCATTTTCTGAAGGACACTTTGGGTGGTTGATAGGCCTCAAATGAGGCCGATCATTACGAAAATCAGTAGTATCATTAAGACTAAGTTTTGTCAAATTTTGAAGTGATACAAGAACATTTAACATATTTATGAGCTCAAAAACCATATTCGAGGAATACGGTTGTATGGAGGCTACACGAAATAATGGACCGATTTTAACTATTTTCAATTGGCTTCGTCCTTGGGTCAAAAATAGGTGCCAAATTTCAAATTATCTTGAAAATTGCGTTTTGTAGAGTGCGCACAAGGTTTACATGGACACTCAGAAAGACGTACAGACAGACATAGCCAAATCTACTCGGAATGTGATTCTAAGCCGATTGGTATACTTTAAGGAATATATTTTTGGTTGTTACAAACATCAGCACAAACATAATACCCTCCTCCACAATAGTGTTATAGGGTATAAATACAAAAATGGAGATTGCTGACTTCGTATCAATATCACTCAAATATAAAAACAATGCCGTGTGACAAAATTACAAAAAGTGAATATACCTCTCACATGACCTGGTGCAGGTAGAGTAATCCACAGCACCGTATTTAGAATTTTTAATATACCCCGAAAATCGGGAGTTTTTCCCAAAAAAAGAACGGATTTTTAACTGTTGCCGGACTCAACAATTTTTATCTTGAATTTCTTAAATTCAGTTATATTTTTTAAAGCAATAGAAAGACAAACATTAGCTTTATTAATAAAGTGGCAAAAACGGACTTATAGTTCCAAAAATAAAAAAATGGATTCTGTTCCTAATTACTCTCCCTTATAATCGTAGAGATTATAGAAGTGTGTATAATTTGTATACCCTTCATAATTTTCCGATCCTATAAAGTTGAAATCAGATTTTTGAAGGCCCCAGATATCTGAGAGATCCTAATCTTCAATAATTCTGCTTTCGATCAACTAAATCAGATATAAGAACAAAAATGAACAATTTTATGCAGCAAGACTTTTGGTACTTTTTCGTTCTTTAACTGGTACTTTTTGAAAATCTATTAGGGAGAATTTTTTGATACTTTTTGTTCTACAACTGGTACTTTTTGAATCTTTTATAATATTTAACTTAGAAATGTAAAATTAAACACACAGCATACTGATTGAATGAAAATTACAAAAGGACAGTTTCTGCTACTTTTTCAACTGGTACTTTTTGCGTTTTAGAATTGGATCGTGATGAAATAAAAATCTATAAGAGTGAATTATTTGGTACTTTTTGTTCTTCAAATTGGCACTTTTTGAATCTTCTATAATATTGAACCTAGTAAAGCATAATTAAACACGCAGCATACTGATTGAATGAAATCTATAAAAGGGAAGTTTCTGGTACTTTTCGTCATTCAAATGGTACTTTTTTGATATTTTAAAAATATAATGTCATACTTATAGGATGCTGATGATATGAACATCTATAGGAGTGATTCTTTGGTACTTTTTGTTCTTCAACTGGTACTTTTTGAATCTCTTGTTATTGCCTTTTCAAAAAGTAAAATCGGATTAATGAAATTTGATAGAAAAATTGTTAAGTGCAACATATTAAAAATTCCTTTAAATGTGATAACTCCCGAAAGAGGGTATAATCACTTTTTGTAACTTAGTCACACTGTGTAATTAATTTATAACTATAAACTACTAATAGCTATTAAAACATATTATTGAATACATATTTGTTGTTGAATATTTATAATAATAATTGCATTTTATGTGTCTGTGTATACAGGTGTATTTAAAAACTTTAGTTTTGTTATTGTATTTATCATTAATTGTGTGTATAATAGTGTGAGTTGTTTAATTATTTATAGTGTATAATTTAAATATTGTTATTGTTATAATATCCTTAATAAATAATCCTTTTTAGGTTAAGTTTTTAGGCAAATTTTAAATTATTAGTTAAGTTTACAAAGCAATTAATTTAGTTTTACAATTTGACTCCTGCCACATTTCCTCCAATTGTAATTTACTGCCGACACTACGCTCGGGCGGTGAATTTTCAGCTGACACCGAAGTGGGTGATAAAACGCCAGTCTGTAATTTTTGTTCAAATGAAATTATGATTAATAAGTTGTATTTATTATATTTTGTATTGCAACTAACCTTGGTGGCTATTTTTCTAGGATCCAAATTCAGGCCAATATTTTGTACTCCCTTAGCTATTTTTGTTAGAGGACTTGTCATTGATTTTAATTGATTTAATTTACCGGTATTAATGGGTAATTTTAAATCTTTTGGTGATATTGTTCTATTGTTTTAGTTACATTAAGAAATAGTGGATTTTAGTTTAATTGGCCAAAAAAAACAAAAGAAAGAACAATATAAATTTTTTGATGATTTTATTTTATTATTTAAAATTTCTATAAAGAACACATTGAATTTTTATACAAATACATTTGTATAGAACAAATATTTGTGCAGTTTAAAGCTTTTTAGTGCATAAATAATACATTTTCATAATATTGTTGTAAATGTTTTTAATGTTTAAAATAATATATAATTAAAAAAATAATAAAATTAAATATTAAACAAATACAAAATTTAACTAAAAATCATGGCTATTACAAAATACTTTGTTGAACAAAATCTCACTATTATCACTTCCAAAGTCAGTGATAGTTTTTTACAATCTCAACAATTTTTTTTTTGTATAAACAAAATACATAAAAACTATAATAATTTGTAAACAATTAAAATAAATTATAGTTTTGTTTTTACATAGAATTACAAAATTAAACACGTCACATATAAAATAAATAC